CCCCCCCCCCCCCCCAATGAAACACTGCTGCCACCACTGCTGGGACCCCTGCACCATTTGCACCACCAGCAGTGCAAAGAGTAAGGGATGGTGGAAGAGGCATCCATGCTGCCCTTGCCTCCTTTCAGATTTTAAGATTAGAAATAAGACCTGAATAACATTGAATTATAGGAGATTTTTTTATCAGTGGTAAACTTTAAATCAAAATGTGATGTCTTCTGGGAAGATGCTCTAGTTCAGACACATCTGTTGGGCTTGAAGCTGACATTTAATTCAGGGAAGTTCTTTGGCTTGTGTTACGCAGGAGGCTAAGGAAGTTGATCACTATGATCCATTTTGGCTTCAAGATCTGCTAGATATCACAAAGTGTACAGTGCCTTTTTATAAAGTCTTCAGCTTTGAGACCCCAAATTCTTCACCAACTCCTATCTTCATGTTTAAAGAAGCAAAAGACTAGCCAGCACCTTCAAAGGTGGGTGCCCGAAGTTAGGCATCTAAACCTGTAGTTTGATTTCTCCCACCCCTCCCCCCATCATAAATATGAGCAATCTCCACCTCCCTGTCTCCCCATGGGAGCTGCAAGAGTCCTCTATTTCTGAAAAACAGGTCACTTACTAAGTATTTTTTGGTAATATCTTGAAAATAGAACTTGGTGTCTTCAAAAGTAATTCTTAAATTTAATGTAGGTTCCCAACTCAGCCATTCCAGTTTGAAAACACTGCCTCTAGTTCATTAATTTAGTTTATTATCTACGTTTTCAATAAACAAAGTGCTTTTTGCTTCTGTACTTCTATTTTGTAGACAATATGATTTGAGATTCTTGTGCACTTGTGTCAATTCCCTGACACACCATTCCTGGGAGCCTCACTTTATTTACTGTGTGGGTGTCCAAGGTGGTTTTGAGGCACCTGTTCATTCTTAGAAAAAACAACCCTATTTGCATTTGAGAGAATGTGGTGGAATTTTTGTGATACCTTTAACTAGTAAAAGGAGAGGAACCCACTCAGGTACAGGTGAATTTTCCAAATTTTTAAAATGAACAATGATGTTCCATATCTGAACACTTTCCTGGTGTTTGTATAGTCAAATCAAATATCGCTTAAAGTTGGTGCATTCTATTGTCTGACTGTGCTTTACGTAAAAAAGGATGTGCATTTTCTTATCCCTAATATTAAGGACTGATTTCTGTGTCATTTGTGTGGTAGCGCATGAGTGTTTCTTTTTTCTTCAAAGGTTTTAAATGCTATGTTAAAAGAAGTATGCACAGCATTACTGGAAGCTGATGTTAATATTAAATTAGTGAAGCAGCTAAGAGAAAATGTCAAGTAAGTCAAAAGAGCCAACTTAAAACTATTTATCTTTGCATTTTTGTCACTGAAGGACTAGTGAATTGACTAACTTGGTTATGAAAAATTTAAAGTTACCAATATGCCTTTAAATGTGATCTAATTTTCATCGTTCTACTCCTTAGTAGGGAGATATGGTTTGAACATTTACATGTCCATGTCAGTCCTTGTACTAGTTGGTGTTGCTGCTCTTCTGAAGAAGCAAACAGACTTCTGTATGCTCCTACATGGTTTGATGTACATCTTTAGGATTTGGTTTGTCTTATTTTCTGAAAAGTGTAGAGGTTAGATTAAACATCTTGGTGTAGTTAAGCTCTGAAAGTTCTAGGACTGTACATCAACCTTTTTAAGAGCCATGTGATTATCTCTTTAGTATTTGCCTCTCTGTCCCCTGTGTTTGATATAGGCAGTATGCCTGTGTGTATCAATGCTGTTAATTTGTGGCTGTCTCTTAGATTCATAGATTGTAAGGGGCTGGAAGGGACCTTGCAAGATCATCGGGTCCAGCCCCCCTGCACTAGGCAAGAAAGATGATTGGGGTCAGGTGACCCCATCCAGTCTCCTCTTGAAAATGTCCTGGGTAGGTGATTGTTCCACCTCTGGAGGGAATTTATTTCACAGCTTGGACACCCTGACTGTGAAGAAGTTTTTCCTAGTGTTAAGCCTGAAACAGTCTTCCAGGAGTTTGTGGTCATTACCCCTGGTTTTCCCCAAGGGTGCCCTGGTGAACAGTTGTTCGCCAAGCCCCTGATGTAGTCCTCTGATATAGTGGTAAGCTGCTACCAAGTTCCTTCTCAGCCTTCTCTTTTTTTAGGCTGAAGAGACCCAAGTCCCTCAGCCTTTCCTCATATGGCTTGCCTTGCAAGTCTCTGATCTTAGTATTCTCTCTTTGAATAATCTTCAAGTGCATGAAGTCAAGTATAGTGGACAGCTGTTAATAACCTTTATATGAGGATAGTTCTTTAAATGTTTAAGAAAATACAGATTCTTACAGAAAATAACTAAGGTGCTCTTTTACATAAAAATTAAAACATAGTAGGACACTTAAGGTATGTTTTCAATCATGTTAATATTTCTTCCTCATCTCAAACTCCATTTTAAAACATAGGTCAGCTATTGATCTTGAAGAGATGGCATCTGGCCTTAACAAAAGGAAAATGATTCAGCATGCTGTTTTTAAAGAGCTTGTTAAGGTAAAACTTCAAAATATATGCATCAAATTTTTACTTTTCTTACCTTATATTGTTTAAATCAGTTGTGATGCATAGGGGGTGCACAGGGTACACGTACCCACTGAGAGCGCTGGTGTACCCCGTCAGGCCACACTCACCAATTAGGTGACTGGCAGGGGGGCTGGCAGGAGTGCCAGTGCCCCCTCTGCGAGCGCCAGCCAGGGAGTGGGGCCACCAGCAAAAGCAGTCGCGCTGCTTTCTGGTGAGTAAGATTGCCTGTGGGGGTATGGCTAGGATTCGGAGTGACCTAGATGAATTGGAGGATTTGGCCAAAAGGAATCTTGTGTGGTTCAACAAGGTCAAGTGCAAAGTCCTG